AAAAAAAAAAAAAAAAAAAAAAAAAAAAAAAAAAAAAAAAAAAAAAAAAAAAACAAAAAAAAAAAAAAAAAAAAAAAAAAAAAAAAAAAAAAAAAAAAAAAAAAAACTTTAGTGTATAAGTTGCAATGAACAGCTTTCTAAACTCTTACAAAGCAATAGTACTTAGAAAACATATTCTCAAACTAAAATAAAAAAATTCATATTGTGCATTCAATAAGGATTCGGTTTTAAAGGACTCCAGTGTCTCGCTGTTTCTGAGAGCAACCGTAAGGGCGTTCCAAATTGTTGGGCTGGCAAATTTATATGTTGTATGTTTTCAAAGAATATAATCTTAAATGAATTTTTAGCTAAGCTTGACAACTTTGGAATGAAATGTAAGGGTGTGTTTGTTGATGACTCTATGTTATGCATTTAAGAAATTGAGAAACTATTTGCTCCTAAAAAATAACATTAAATATATTATAAGTTTTTAATTTAATACTAACAGACGATCATTATATTCTCTATCAGGTGTTAACTGAAAGTTATCATCTCACAAAATTTAAATCAATTAAAAAATGTGTTCATTGTATATCTCTAGATTCCTAGAAAATTATCATGTGGCCGAACAAAATAAAAAAATGTCCATATGGCTCTCTGTACGAAAAGGTTTTCCACTCCTGCGTAAGAAGCTAGATATCACTTTGAAAATAATAGCATGCTCAGCAAAAACACATGCTATTTTGAACAAAAAAATTTAATCAGGCACATATGGAAATCATTTGAATAATGCTTGGGCCTAATTCTGTTAAAAAAGTACTGACCAGTTAACAAGTGATATTTTTGAAACACTAATTTTAAAAAAAAAATTTTTAAGGGGGAGAAATGTTCACTCCATATGCACACTCAAATTTAAGTTCAACAAAGTTCCAATGGATGTTTTCTGAGTTTTAGTCAAGAAAGAATATCTTAAAATTTCGATGCTATTGCAGTTCTGAAACAATTTTCAGCCACATGTTGTAATAACAAAAATTTTGTTTGGCGGTTGTGTTTGAAAGACATTGATTGTAATCTTCAGAGTTGCTTTATCAGGTATTGAGTCAAGTATTTAACAACATGTTCAGCAAAAGAGGCTCATAACGTCTCATTAATAATCATTATTATAAGATTTAAATCTTTTAATTTGTGTATGTAGTTTTTTATTTTCCCTATATTTCTGTTGTATTGATATTCACGGGTAAATGGTGAAGACTATTTTATGTTATGTGATCACTTGGCATAAACAAAACTACTTGCTCATTTTAATTTTAAGTTCGTTAATTTTTTTAAAAAGTTTTCAAAATGTTGATAAAAGTTTTTAAAAAAGCAGTAAACAACTGGTGTTTCTTTTTTCATGTTTTAATTGTGGTGAGATGTGATAATCTGGGAAGGGCCTATGTGTGCCATGAGTGAAAAAAAGTTGGGGAGCATTGCTCTAGAGGTTAATATATTACTTAGTTGTATTATGTTACCCTTGATTCCAAAATGACAACATCAACTCCAAAGGACTGTAACTGTCTGGCAGCTCCAAGACCTGCAATGCCGGCACCAATGATGATGACTTTGCAATTCTTTTTGGCTGAAAAAATATATATGATATTGATTTAAAATACACCTGCAAACAGAAAACAAGAGGCAGCACAATGTGTAGCCAGCAGCCAATATTCTTTCAATCTGATTTTCATTTATATTATTGCTACATGTCCAAATATTTGGATTAAAAATGTAGATTGTGAAAACAATTTCTAACAAACTGAAAATGTGTAGGCAAGTGCAACACTACACCTATCAGGTCAACCCCAAAAATATTTTTTCAACTGCTTTAAAATTACCTGGCAGGGGTTTCAGTCTCTTGAAGATTCCAAAATTGATGAAACTGTACCTTTCCAGGAATGCATGAACTCTGAGAACTAGCTGACCATCACCTGTAAAATATTAAAATAAGCAACTCATAAAATGTTACTGATAAATCTTTTGAAAATTTTTTTTTTAAAGCAACACCTCCAAATGACTGAATTTATATTTTATCAAGAAGGGTACACTTATAAAGTTTGATGTCTAGGGCAAAACTAAATTTTGTATATTTGGAAATAATACATTTGAGCCATTAATTGTCAGACAATACTAATACTAATACTCACTGTTATATGGGGGTTCTATGTCCTGCAAGGCATTTTCAAAAGTTAGTTGCTGTTTTGGGTTTTCCAACCATAACTGTAGCTGAAAAATGTTGAAATACTTTTTAAAAACTTACAAAAGAAAACATAACATTTGAAAAAAGTATTTAAACTTAATCATCATTTTAAAGTAAACTATAAAAAGAAAATATTTAAATGTATGAAAAGAGGAATGAAAGAAATGATCACAGTGACATACTAATCTGTTTCTAAGATAGAGAAAGACTTTCTGAGATTGTGGTGGTCCTTGAACAATATCAGGGAATGCTGCAGCTTCTTGAGATGTCATTTTATCAACTGGTAGCCTACTTTGAAAAGCAGCACCTTCCAGCCCTGGGGAACAATAATAAGGTAAAGTGTCAAACATTAGCATTAGAACACATTCATAAATGATAATACTGTTGTTGATTAAAGGCATGCATTCCCATACTTATTTATACATTAAAAGTAAATACTTTTTTCATGATAAAGTATGCTTACAAGAAAATACAATCTATGAGTATGGGTTATTTTACTCTAACACAAACTCCCTGATGTGCAAATATGTTAGTTGAAGAGATGACAGGTGAAGTACTTCTAACAATTCAGGAAAGTACCTGATGGATCATCTGCAGAATGATCACTTTCTTCACCAATAACTTCATCTTCAGGTTTAGGTGCAGCTTTAGTATCTTTCACATCTTTTTCTTTAACACCAGTTTCTTTTGGCTCTTTTTCTTTTGACTTTGTGTCTTTGTTTTTTTCTTTCTTTTCTTCTTCAGAATAAAATTCATCTTCAGATATGTGGGCAAGATGCTCATCCATTTCTTTATATTCAACCTAAAACAAGGTTTAATATATTAGATTAACAATTAATTTGCTGAAATAAATAAATCTGCACTACAAATGACTCATGCTTGGTTTAAAAAGGATCTTTAATCCCAGTTTCATGAGGTCATATTTGAAGATAAACGAATATTGTCAAAATCACAATTACAAACAGCGACAATATTGCATTGCATGATAGAAGTGGGGAAGTCAACTTAAACTGTGTCATCTTACAAGAAATGTGCATATAAGAATGTAATTCCAAAAGGCTGCCAAGGTGACATAATTGTGATATCAGTGGCAAAGGGGGAAATATGAAAGGGTGTTTTAAAAGAAATCTGGTTTACAGAAAGTAGGAATTATAAATAGCCATTAATTTATTTCAAGTTCTTTCAACTGCCGCTGATTTTCTGGGGATGAGTGAACTCCCCTTTGTTTAGTTATGAAGTTTTTTTAAATTAACATTTCATGAGTTAGTTACATTATTTCAAAACGAGGCAATTTGCTCATGTCCTTGTTGAATTTTCTGACATATTGTGGATTTTATTTTCAATGTAACTTGTAATAAAGTGTATATAAGTGTATTCAATAAAATTGTAAGTTGGGTTTTCCTATTTGAATATTTTTAAAATTATTTTTCAATTCAAATTTACAATTTTCTCATTAGTGTCTCCGTAGCACATGAACACGTGGTTTTAAGGTTCACATTAGTCATAGATTTTAGGTTCACAGATTCACGCTTGAGTTAGGGGAGACTAAATTTAGGTTTGAAGATTATGCTTGAGTTTCGGATATAACGTGATTTAGGGATACTGACTTTCATGCTTGGGACATTTAGCATTCAAGTTAGGCAAAGTGATATTATTTTTCATTTGTGTCACTAAGCAGCTTTCCCCTTCCCATTTTCCCCCCTGTCTTTTTGTACAGCCACCAACTTTTTCGCCATAACAGGAGACATCATGACAACAAAGATGGCGACCATATAAAAAAAGTAGTGGAATTCCCTTCATAATTTAAATAATACTAAATTTAATAATTAGCCTTTCAGAATATATTTGGACTCTCATTCTGTTAAGTTACAATGTGTTTATAAAGGTCCTGGAAGGGGAGATAACAAGTTAATAATTAAATACCCTAAATTAAGATCACTTGTTAATGGCCTTTCATTAGTAGATCCAGAAGTAATGACTTTTACAGATCTCCTATGAGTTATCAATATGCAAAAGTACAAGATTACCAAATATTTAACATTATTGGACTGGACCAGGAGAACACAAATCATTAAATCATCACAAATACTCAGGTAAATATAAATGAATATTATTAATATGAACTGTCTATAGCCTATAGCCTTCTGTCATCTAAAGGTCTCAAACTCGTGTTAATGTTAACCATAATAAGAATATGAGCATTCTTATTATGGTTAACATTAACAAGACTTTGAGACCTTTAGTTTTTAATTTTAAAAGCTTATTAAAAAATATATATTATTTTTAACAACAGGGCTTACTAACATTTTTCACTTGATTTTGATGAGGTTGAGCAACTCTGCCTTTGGTATGCTTTCCTACCTTGGCTCTTTTGCGCCTGCTCCTACGCCCAACATCACTACCCGAATTCCCATCTTGTTCTTCTTCCTCTGCGGGAACGGGTCGCTTAGTTGATTCGGCACTCGATGTTTCATCCTTTTTCGGCATGAGAGTTGTTACTTTAGCTGATTGATGGGAAGACGCCATTGTTGCTAATGCGGTGATCAGTGACGACCAGGTAGAAGCTCGTTTATAAATTTATATACACTTTTTAAAAATATACCCTCACCTTCATAAATCTATCGAAATCTTGTAACATTTATTTATATACTTAATAACACAAATCTTGAAAAACTAGTAGATTTAATTATTGATAATCATATGGATTATTTAAAGAAGAACAGATGAATATTCAAATGAGCATATTTGCCAATCTGGCATTCACTATTTTCATTTAATAACAAATACTTCCGGATCGGGATAGTCAGAATTTCGTCAACATCACATGAATATTAGGTCTATTTGATTTTTAAATAATTTTTTTTTTTTTTAAGGAATCAGTGTGACTTTTCTGATCTAGTCAGTTATCTTTCCGAAGAAACGTTCATAGCAGCAGTGGAGAAGGATGGCAGGATTTTTTACGAAGAAACCCACTGTTCAAGGTACATTCAAATTAGTCATTAGTTATTAAGACTTCAACTTAAGATTAGTTAGTAAGTTAGTAAACAGACTGAATTCAGTATAATTTGTAATAAGTCATGGTCAATAATTATTTTTAATAGTCAATATAGTATGATTTTAATTAGAATTGAATTAAATAGTATACTAATACTTTACTATAGTTAATTTAGTCTACCATACTAGTATTATAGAATATTAGAATAGGGTTTAGATTAAGAATAGTATTAAATTAATTTGTAATTATTAATATAACTTAAATATTAAATTGTATGATTGGTTAATTAATTATTAATATAATTACTTTAAAAAATGAGTTACATTTACAGAGACCAGAGAGTGTATAGTATACAATAATGTCTAGTATAAGTATAAGTGGAAGTTATCCTATTTATTACTATGACTATAAGTAGTCTAAGTTAGCAAGTGTGTGTTAGTTTAATAATTTAATAGATTATAATATATTTAAGTCAAGTCAACTGATTATAATCGTGATTTCTTTAATTGTAATATATTCAATTCGGTAAGTTATTGTTTGTAAATTTACATAATCTGCACCACACTACTCATTTTCCCCATGTTTTTGCACTACTTTTTTCCTTCAGACACCATCTTTTCTGCCATTATGGCAGATTCAGATATGCCATGGCATGCAAAGCTAATTAATTATTTTTTAAAAATCTTCCAACGTAAATTCTACAATATTCTACCTAACTAACCTAAACAGTGAATGCTAAGTCAGTATCCCTATGTCAAGTGTAAATTTACCTCTAAATTTTAGTCGCCCCCCCCCCCCCGCACCACCACCATCTTTAAATCTAAAATCTATGGCCTAATGACAAATGTCACTAACGTGAACCCTAAAACCACGTGTTCATTTGCTACAGTCAGGGCCGGCCATACGCTGGTGACACGGGCAAGTTTAACTTTGGCATAATTTAAATCATAATATTTTTGAAAGGGAAAAACTAGGGGTTAGGTAATGAGTTTATACCTAGGAGTGAGGCAAGGGTTTTATTATCTAAGTTGTTCTTTTAACAAACATGATCAGTAAAATTGTTTTTCTTAATTTTTATTTGGCGAAGAAGACAATAGAAGGCATCCATGCAAGAGGAGAAAGGTAATCCAGCAGTGGATCCCTTGTTACGCTTAGGTGATACAGAATGAGAGGGCGGGTACCCTTGTGTGAGAAGGTGCAGCTCAGCCTTAACCCAAATAGGCACATGACTCAACTAGGAGTCAAAGCTTGGCTTAAAGACCACTTCTGTGAGGAGTGGCTAAGCCGTTGGGCAGGTGACATGGTACCAGAATATGCTGTGGCAGAGTAAGAACGACCCATGGTGGAAACTACAACATGACATGATGAGCAGAGCCTAGTGACGCACATGTGAGCAGAACTCTCTCCAACATGCAGCTATCTACACCGAATAGACTCATGTAGGGACCCAAACTGCCGACTCTGGCCAGGCCACAGAAATGGTAGACCACCTGCTCTTTGCATGCCCTGAGGCCTGAGGTCAAAGTAGGTTCTGAAAGATCCAACATGGGGACCTTTGTTAACGATTTAATTTACACATGTGCCTGCTTGATGAGGCAAGCTGCTGCAAAAACTGGCCAGGGTCATAAGGGTCTAGGCTCAACTCCATAAGAGAATGTGCTATATTGCACTTTCTATATTTATATTCTTTGCAATATCATTGGCTATAGACAAAATTGCCAAAGAATTTATTTTGTCTTGAGACATGGATGGTTGTAAATATTTTCTATAAACTTTAGTTTGCTAATGCGTCTCTCTTCAGCAGCTACAGTAATAGATATTGTAAACATTATTCTTAATGTTACCCACAGATTTACCATGACATCCTGTAACTTATTAGTGTTTATGAATTTTAGCGGCTTCTATTAAAAGATTTACATCATGGAGAAATAATTCTTAGGCTATTTCTAGTTCAGCCAACAGATCACATCCATTTTTATCGCTATTTTCTTGATGCCTTAACTTATTTTCCAAACCTTGACATGCCACTGTGAGCTTAACTTTGACAGATTTTTTAAGTCATTTAAAATCTCCGTGTGTTATTGAAACTTTGCATCTCGATCAAATCTCGGTTGTATAGGTCTATCCAGTATTACATTGTACGAGTAATTTTTATTATTTTTTTCTGTGTCATCTGCATTTGGAACCTTTTCAGTGCACTCATATTCAAACAGCCTTCTTCTCCACCTTCTCAATATTCTGTTAATTCTAAAAATGGTCTTTACATCTAATTATACATCTTAAAATGACATCAATATGAAAAGAAAGCCTGAGAAACAAACAATATTTATTCTAAACACTCCATCTGCATATTAATGTATAAAAAAGAAAAGTTAACTTTAGTGAATAAACAAAGGGGGATCTCTACCAGTGAAATAAAACTCAGGGAACCCGTAAAGCATTAATTAGAAAAAGTAATGTTAACATGTCTAAAGATAAAGAATTAAAACATTACAGTATATCTTATAATAATTCGCCAGAAGACGACGCAGGCTTTAGTAGATGGGAAGTTCATGCATTGCTGTCGCCAATGTTTGGCGGGCTATGCGCACACCCCGACAAGTTCTGAGCAAGCGAGCAATTCTGCAACGTATGCTACGCCGCGGGTCATCTAGTATCTATAAATGCATAAAACAAAAATACAAGAAGCGAATTTTCACAAGGGGCTGGTCTATTGTATATATAAAAGAGAGATTATTATTAATATTGGTGTTTTTATATAGCGCAGTACCCCATCCTAGAGCTGGGCTCACCACGCTGTACATACAATTTAACAAACATAATCATGAACTTAAAAATTAACATACATTAATTGAATAAAACAAAACAAATGTATATTTACGCCACACATTCAAGAACTATTTACATATCCAGCCATGGACGGCTACCCAGCAGCATCATTTATTGGTCAGAGGGGGGAATCAGTCAGGATAGTAGAATTTAAAGAAATGTGTTTTGAGTGCAGTTTTGAAGGCTGTGGTGGTCGGTATATTGGGAATGTGTAGAGGAAGAGAATTCCATTATTTAGGGGCACAGAAAGATCATTCACCCTATGTTTTTGTGCGAGTCTTGGGGACAGAAAGAATACGTGTCTGCGGAGGAGCGAAGCTGTCGAGGATGTGAATAGATAGAGAGAAGTTCGGTTTGATAGGAAGGGCAGGAATTCTAGAAAAAGTTGTGGCAGATACCAGAGAGTTTGTAGTTAATCCGTGCTTGTACAGGAGCCAATGAAGATGGCTAATGAGAGAGGGGCTTATTTTACTGGTCACTCAGCAAATGTCAACTAACTAAGATTTTAATTTATCTAAACATAGTGAATAATTACTTAATTATTGCAAAGAGAGATACTTAAATTACTTACCAAATTGAATATTTTACACAAATCACAATTATAATCAATTTACTTTTATGTTCTATTTATTAAACTATACTTCGAAAATCAAGGACTCGCTCCTAGTGTATGTGCTCTATGGCGCTGAATATGCACTGTTCTTCATAACCCAAAATTCCATTCCAAATTCTTGTGAGCGACAAATTCATATTCTTAATAGCACAATGTGCAATGGATAACATTAATGTTTCTCTATCATTCAGAGCAAGTACGAGCTAATGACAGAATTCTTAAAAAACAAACTAGGGATCTTGACCGAGACAGAAATGCATTAGAGAGAGAAGAAAAGAAAATTGTAAGTTTTGCTATTTTTTACATTACGTTTTAATTTTAAAAGATAACATACTTATAGGATATTTAAGTTGATTTTGATATCAAAATATAGTATTTTATCTTCTCTTCCAAGAATTTTATTTGAGTATAATCTTGACAGTGCAGAATGTGGGCCAGATTTTTCAAAATAATTCAATTAATCTTTTCAAGGAAATGGAAATAAAGAAAGCAGCAAAGGCAGGAAATAAGCAGGTAAGTGCATTATATTTCATTGATGGATCCACCAATAGTGTAAATATTTACATGTTTTCACTGCATTTTTTACATTGCCTTTTTTTTTTTTTTTTTTTGCTCAACTTTTAATTAATGAGTATGGCATTGCATTACTTTTTCCCCAAGACTGAAAAACGTTCTATTATTTTTTTAAAAGCATATATACTTCTATTTATTGTTTTTTTTTTTTTGTAAATATTTACATGTTTTCACTGCATTTTTTACATTGCCTTTTTTTTTTTTTTGCTCAACTTGTAATTAATGAGTATGGCATTGCATTACTTGTTCCCCAAGACTGAATAACGTTCTATTATTATTTTAAAAGCATATATACTTCTATGTATTGTATTTATTTTTCATTTACAGGCAGCAACAATTCTTGCAAAGCAGTTGATAGCTCTGAGGAAGCAGAAAACAAAAAGTTATGCAATGGGCTCCAAAATATCATCTATAGGCATGCAGCAAAAGGTGAAAAAACAAAAGAATAATCCCATAGTTATTTAACTGTAAAGGGAATTGTCTTGGATGAACTTTTACTTAAAGTAAGGGTATTTATGTAGGTTATAATTCCTTTTATTTTAAATCTACCAGGTGATGCATTCCAATATGAAGATGGCCAATGCAATGGGTACAACAACAAAGGTAATTGAACTGAATTTTTTATATAGGTGGTTTATATGAAATATACAGTATAAAAATCAGATATAAAAATAATTTACACAATGAAATCAGTGCTGCAGTGAATCAATTTTATGTAAATGCTGTAATGTTGACAATTAAGTTAGTTATGGGATGTGATTGATAAATTGTAGTATATTAAAGAAATCCCCTATTACATGGATTACATCTTTTTTTTTTTTTACAGACTATGACACAGATGAACAAGGTTATGGATCCAATGAAAACAGCAGCAATGATGAAAGATTTTGAAAGAGAATCCTCAAAAATGAGCATGACAGAAGAAATGAGTATGCAAATATTTATTTTATTTTGCTCAACTATTTGTTTTTTTATGGAGATGGTAAATTAAGTGTATATATTTATTCACCTTTATTTTAATATTTCAGTTGATGAAACTTTAGATGACATCCTCACTGAATCTGGAGATGAAGAAGAGCAAGATGCCATTGTTAACCGTGTACTTGATGAAATTGGTATTGAAATCTCAGGAAAAGTAAGTCTTGAATTTGATTCAGCATTAGATCTGTATTGCCGTAACCCATTAATCTCATCCAACCTTAAATGTCAGTTACCTGCTCAATCCTGTAATGGCCAAATCAGACAGCCCTAGGCACTTTTCATATGTGGCTTATACAACATAACTCAATCGAAATGGAATTTCTGTAACTTGCAACGCTAAGCAAACCAAGGCAGCTTCCTGCCAACTATTTCGTCATTATGTGCAAGCAGAAATCGTAATTTCAGTTTTAACATAAGAGCTGAGTCAATGGTGAGGCCATGTGATAAGAGTATTTTTTTTTTCAAATTTTCACATAACTGGAGCATTTTTGGGGGGAAAAAAATTCAATAACGCATATTTCAAGCATCTATTGATATAGATCTAATAAAATGGGGCAAAAAAATGAACTAAAGTTTTGATGAAGAATGACTCAACATTTTATCAATCCACCACTGCTGGGATAGTTTTAACATCTTAACTGCAACAAGAAAACAATAATGACTTATTGGCATATTTTTTTTGTAATTTATGCAAACATAATGTGTGAATACCTTATTACTTGACATGAATTTTGAGAATGTTTGCTCTTAACGTGATTGATTTAATTTTTTTTTAGGTTGAATTTATTAAAATATTACTATTTAGCATCTACCATTATGTCCTAGAATCTCTTGATTGAGAAGTCTGATGGCAAACAATTCTTTAAAATTATTTTAAAAAATTTGTGTCCCTTACCAGCTTGTGGATGCCCCATCAGCTCACAGGGGAAGACTGGGAGAATCAACAAGTACAGCTGATGCTGATATAGAGAGGCAACTTGCAGCATTGAAAAATTTGGATTAGCCGTGTCTAAAATGATATGGTGTACATAGGGATAACTTCCTTGAAGCCATTCTCAAAACTTGTACAGCATATGGTGAAGATAATAGATTCATTCTTCATTGAGAAAAATAAGCAGGTCTTATGTTTCATGATCCTGATTATAAAAACACACAGGGAGACAGCACTGTTACTCATGAAGATTGTCAAGCAAGTATTTGCAAGTTAAGTTATATTAGTTTGGGTTGTAATGTTGCTATAGACAACCATCTATGCTCATTTTGGATGATTCTCTCTCAAAATCTTTCATCATTACTGCTGTGAGTGGATGGCGTAGGCTAAATATTTTAGCCTAATAATTCATTGCCCTCTGTGAAGCCAATGGGTTGTTTCAGCTTTAAGTTATAAAAGAATATAAAAATTACTTAAACACAGTCTACTTTGACCATAACAAATTAACATGGAGTTTAGCTGTGCATTTAAAGATTAATATAATTTATCTTGTTCTCTCATCACTCTAAGTGAGCCTTATTTTTATATATGTTTCTCTCTGTGATCTTCAAATGTGTGTGTGTGTGAATTGAATTATTATTATGCTGATTTTGAATTTATCTTGTATTTTTATAATGGTTTAGGATTTCGCTTAAAATCTATTTAAATCCATTTTAGAATAATTTTTTTTTGTTGATTCTTTTGTAATTTGTTAATAGTTTGTATATAAAAATTGTGTTTGCAAATCTATTTTTTTTTTTTTTTTTTTTTTTTTCTTTTAATTTTGGGGGTTGGGTTGTAAAAAATTTAAATTGGAATTTTTTTTTTTTATTTTTTTTTTTTTTTTTTTTTTTTTTTTTTTTTTTTTTTTTTTTTTTTAATATTTTTTTTTTTAATTTTATTTTTTTTTTTTTTTTTTTTTTACATTTGAATTTGGGGGGTGGGCTGTAAAAAAATTATAGTAGGAATTTTTTTCTGCAGGTAAAAGATAAATTTATGCAGACTTGTGAATTGCATAAACAGTATGCCACAATAGTTCTTGGTGGACATAGATCTTATTTTATGACTCCAAATCATTTTATTTTTTTACTACTGGTACTAAAACAAATGAAATTTTGTTTGTCTTAAAAAGTAATTCTAAAACATGGTATTTATTTAAAATTAATCCCACACAAAAAAAGCTATGTGTGATTATAGTTAAAGCATTGGATGTTTTTAAAATATTGCGACTCAGCTTTTTTTTCAATCATGAATGAGAACATATTTAAACCCTTTTCAATTAAGTGATAGGTCAGCCATGTCTTTATTTTTAAAAAATTACTTATTGAGCTAATCAATGCTATTCATTAAACATTATCAAAGCAGAAAAATGCTTTAGAAAAAAAATTACTTAAAGTTACTCTGGCGAGTCAAAGTTATGGTTGGTGTGAAAATATGTATTGTGATGAAAATTTGAAAATGTAATGTATTTTTGACCTGGTATGGATTCTCTTAGCAAAGTGGAATTCAGATTGGACATTATATTAAAATTAAAAGGGGTTTTACAAAATTTGATGTGTAACATGATACATCTATGCAACCAATATTGGTACAATCCTTACAGCTTTTTCAAAATTTCTCTGGCAGAAACTGGCTTGGTTTAAGTTTATAATGAGATAAAAGAGAAGTTGATGTAAAAATGTTCAGATGGATAAGTCATTTTTTTTCTTTAGATGTGTGCTTGGGGTTATGAGCAGAGACAATTACATATCAATATATGTATTTTAAAATGGGTGTAATAATAATATTGTTCAATTGCCTGTGTGACTGGATAGTTTTAAATAAAGATAAAGGCAAAAATAGCTGATGTTGTATAATGTTTTGAGGCAACAAAAGTATGTGCAAGATTATGTTAGGATGGGAGTGTCCCTCTTTACATTCTTCTTACCAAATTGTATATTAAATTAAATTTGATTATTTAAAAAAAAAATTAAATAAAAAAAAAAAAAAATTCTAAGCATTAAACAAATTTTATCGTTTCTTTTTTATTTTAAGGTTTAAAAATTAGTTTATTTTGTCTGATGAACTGATTTTTTTTTAGGCAGCAGTTTTAACCCCACTTTCCTATTGAAGGTTTTTATTAATGTTTTGAGGCAACAAAAGTATGTGCAAGATTATGTTAGGATGGGAGTTTCCCTCTTTACATTCTTCTTACAAAATTGTATATTAAATTAAATTTGATTATTTAAAAAAAAAATTAAATAAAAAAAAAAAAAAATTCTAAGCATTAAACAAATTTTATCGTTTCTTTTTTATTTCAAGGTTTAAAAAGTAGTTTAGTCTGTCTGATGAACTGATTTTTTTTTTAGGCAGCAGTCTTAACCCCACTTTCCTATTGCAGGTTTTTAAATTGAAACATCATCTTTTTTTAGTGTGTTGTCACAAGAATTCACCAGCCCCTGTGCTTGTACACAGGAACTGAACGGGTCATCAAATTTATTGTAGTACATTCACTGTTACAACCTGCATTGATAGGACACTGTGTCCTAACTTTGTTTACATCGGAATAACACACAGTTTCTGGTACTGATGTACACATGGGATATTTGATAATAGGCATATGGCACCTGTGGAAACAGTCATATAACTGGATTCATTATTTGGACTTTTTAATAACACAATGAAAGAAACAGTCTATCAGTACTTAATACAGTTGACAAAAGATACACATTTTAAGAAAGCAAACATTATTTTGTACATTTTATTCCATTAAGAGGTCATAAATAATCTGTTTAATTTGATATAAACTCTTATCCACAGAAGTAGACATAATCATGAACATACAGAGAATACTAGCACATATCCAGGATGGGTTAAAATAATCTTGATTGGTCCCAATTTTGATAGGACATACAAATCTGATACTGATAAACAATCACAAGCACTTCCAAAATGTCTGTCAGTGGTGTCACCCTGTAAGATGCACCACCACATGAGACAAAATTGATTCTCTTATTGCACTTCTTCACAAATGCATTTGTCTATTTCACTGATGGGTGTGTCAGTCTAGTTTATTGTATACAAAACTAAGATGATTACATATTATATTACAGCTGTATCAACTTCCTATTCAGTTTGGGCCCAATTGAAGCAAGTTATGAGCTGCTTCAACTAAGAGGAATTGTAGGTAAACCTCCTAATGCTATAATTTAGATCCAGAAAATAGTCGAAAATGTGGTAATAAATATTTTACAAGCTAACTCTTAAGTGGTAAGCTTAACTGGAATTAAATTTTATCATGTCATTTGTTTGATTTTTTTTAATGATGTAGCTCATGAGTTTGTCATTGAACAGCTTAATTGCACAGAAATGACAAAAGAACTCTGCTCTTTTGTTTGGACATTTTACAGCATGAGCAAAGAATCAAATCAATATATTGAGCGGTTGGAAATAAATAAATGGTGTATCTACTTACATAGACTTGACATCAGGAAAAGATTTTAAAAGATGTTTTATTTTTATTGAAACACCAAGTATGGACCAGAGCAGTTACATTAATTCTGATCCAGTTTTTACTGAAATACCAAGTATCATACCAGAACAGTTTTACATTAATTCTGATCCAGTGGCAAGTGCCCGTCAGCAACGGTGGAAAAATTTTGCAGGTTGAAATAGCCCATATGTAAATACTTGATGACCCATAACTGCCATTTATAAAATCCTCACATTACACCCCCCCCCCCTTTAGACTCCCAACTTTCCACGATACACCAGTAAACTGGCCCTCCCTTCATCTCATAAGTCAAAGCCTCCTTCCCTAAACCATGTCCCACTACCTTGGTTTCCCCATAACATTTCCCTATGATTTCCAACTTACTCCCATACACTGCTCCTAGTTAAAAGAAATTCAGTTAATGTGTACTCTAAATTGATATTATGTCCACTGAGTCACATTCAGTTAATGGGAGAGGGAAAAAACAAGGGTTGGATTATCGAAAAGACCTTTTCCTCCATAATTTTAGTAAATCAATAACAATATTTTACATACACAGCGCATGACATTATAGTATATAGTTCTGGAAGACAATAAATTTAAATTTACGCACTTTATTTGGTGCAGCTATATTAAATACTGCATTTAGTCAAAAAGAATTATAGACAGATCATTGAAATTATTTTGTTAGTCCATGTAAATACGCCTGGAAAAAATTCAATGCTTTTCTTTAAGATGACATTTGCTTTGGTTTTGAACCCAACATCTAATAACAGCAGGATAGGTCAGTCATTGTAACAATCTATTAATTTAATATCAGCTGGTAGAGAATTAAGTAAGGGTTTCAATACTTAGTTTTTCCCATCTGATAATTTTTGTGATCCGAAAGATATCTAGATCACAGCTTGCTTGATATTCATTTTGATAACTGATAACAACACTTCATTTTTTAGATTTGATAGCACTTTTTTTTTTTTAACAAATCCAATAAAAACTCAGCATTTTAAAATTGGCAAAAAATTCTATATTAAAATACGATTTGCCAATTGATTAGTATTAGCAGTTTGATTTTTTGTTATATTTTTCTAAACAAAAAACTTTTGTAATGTAGGCACTTACATGAGAATATAAAAATTTGGAGTTAAGAGTTTTATGTTTTGGATGGCCAGTTTCGATAAAGCATAATGAAAGATGCTATCATTCCCAGAATTCCATTATATGAAGGTTTCAATTTTTGTGCCCACAATATTCCAGGGGGAAACCAGGAGATGGCGTTAGTGAAATCTGAGCCATATTGTATGAGAAGCAGTAGTAAATCTTTCCTCTCTGCTGATAGTTTTTTCAAGCTTTCTTTTATCTGAGCATTTTGGGCAGAACTATAGTCGAAACTGAAAAAAAAAAAGTAATTTAATAAATATAAGCTTTACAATATTCAAAGTTCACCAGTTCACCATCTTTACTTTTGGAAAAGAGAACTTAAATTATTTTTTTCAGACATTTAAATGTTTTAATTCCTTTTAACAATATTTTGTGTTAATTCTCTTATATTTTAATTCATATTATTATTATTATTAGTTAGTGGTCTTATATAGCGAAGTACCCCAGCCTAGGGCTGGGCTCACCGTGCTGTACATAAAAATATTAGCAAAAGAGACATTATCGTGACATTAAAATTAAATACATTTACGTAATAAAGAACAGCTGTATAACAACAACAAAAAACAAATGTATATACACCCCACACACCCCAGAACTTTTACATGTCGAGCCATGGACGGTAGCCAGCAGCATCATTTATTGGTCAGAGAGGGGAATCAGTCTGGGTTGTGAGTTTAAAGAGATGTGTTTAGAAGGCCTATGTGGTTGGTACATTGCGGGTGTGTAGTGGCAGAGAATTCCATTGTTGGGGGCGCAGAAATATATCTTTTTTTATTTTAATTTTTATTAATTCTTCTTTCTTTTGTGTAATGTTCAAAACAATTGTTGAACTCTAAAATTCCAACCATATATGAGGAGTCCACTTGGAAAACTTGTTAAGTAACTGCTAGTTGATTTTGAGAAAAAGCTATTTTTGTAAATTAACTATATATATAGCGAATTTAGGATTTATATTTTTTTATGGTGACTATTAAATACTTTTATCATTATGGAGAAATTATTCTCTTATTTAATTAAATGTATGGCTCGTTCTAAAACAGTACACAAAAAAAGACGATACCATATGTTAAAAACAATAGCGAAGAATACAATACTCAAACCAGGGCTAATTACAATTAATAAGTTTTATTATGTTAATTTTAAATTACAAAATCAAAAAGAAATCAAATTAAAGCTATTGACTTACAGTAAAATGATTGGCTTTTACTGGTACAGTGTAAAAGAAGATACAATATTTTTAAAATGTAAAATGATGAAAAGGAATCTACACACACAATAAACAAAGCTCTCTAGCAAAAATAGCACACTTGCAAAATGACTCTAGTCAGTTGTCTCGTCATCTGGTCCCCTGTCATTCAATCTCTTGTCTTCATATATAGTCTGTTTCTTTAGACAATTACAGAAGGTTACGCATTTTACTTGCTTCCCGCTGCTTCTACAATATTCTACAAGGTTCGAATCATGAAACAGACCATAGAGTTTAGGTGCAGCCGATGTCAAAGGGAGATTATAATTAGTAAGCCACACCCTAATACCAGCGCAGGGTCAGCTTAAGTTCATTCACCAGAAAAGATGAATGAAATTAAATGGGACGCCTTTAAAAGTGACATTTATGACAAATCAAGTTTTTTATTCATTAAATACAGGTACACAAAATACTGTAGACTATTTAATAAACCAGGCATAATGGACATCTCATTTTTTTTCTTTAAAAAAGTGACATAGCAGGTTTTGCAAGTGGCCTCATATATCCCCCCCCCTCCCCCCCTTAAAAAACATTATTGTTTACCTGTCTTTATCCAACTGTTGTTGCTTGATTAGATTCTTCGCCTGAGTATTCAACAATCTGATTTTTATTATAGACCTGAAAAAGATATTACATTAGAGCCAGTCAAATTTAATCAGTAAGGACAGTGTGGGATTATGAAAAGGATTTAAAGAAGGATCAATAATTTTGCTTTTATCTTTATGCACACAAATTTTAGTATAAGGTAATGAAGTAGGATCCAAAATTTTGCTATTATCAGAATAAGCTGGGATAGTGGCCTTGAGATTTATTTGAGACCTCATAAGATATTATATTTCAGATTTTACTTGTCAAAGTAATAAAATAATGCAAGCTCATAATTTGTAGTAATAAATTACATAAAAATAATGCTGACTGCTGATATATATTGCATATATATAAATCTGAATGCTGTCCAGCAATCTGATTTAAAGAACACCGAAGTGGTATAATTTCTAACCAAACTAAACTGATTCAACAACACCTGTATAAATATAATGTGCTAACTTAATAATTTCTCCAAATAAAGCCAGTGTCCAGAATAGGAGGCCAAAAAGTGAAAAAACGGTTGGTGTTCCATTTAAAATGTTCTTCTGTCTGAGCCATGATATGTGTTCTGAAGGGTAGTAGAGTTGATTGCAGATGGCAATGAAGACTTCCAGAGGCTTCAGAACTCCTTTTTCCTAAAATAAAAAATTAAACTTTGAAATCAGGTTCCATAACATATATGTTTTAGAAACTAAAAAAGTAACAAATTTGTTTTCAAGCTCATAGTTCATAAAAACACATTTTTAAAAACTTTTAATAGTATGTAAGATATTTGTTAAAAATTAAATCTTGTTCCTAGTTAAAAATTAAATTAAATCTTGTTTCTAATTAAAATGCATTATAATAGGCCACTGCAGGCATTATCTTAATTGACTACCAACTTTGAAGCCGAAATTGCTTGACAAATTGTAGAGAAGCATTGAGAGATCATCAAAGAGTCTAAGGATCACACGGCAGCCACTCATTTCTGATGAAACTATTCTCCATTTGACTTGAACGGGTGTCTTCCCATCTCCTCCCATGTACATAGCTGCATATGTTAGGAGTCGAATGATCCTGTCTCTTCCTCTGTATGTTTCTAACAGACTCATAAGAGTGGTTAAACTGTCTTTTATCAGGGGCATTTTCTAATAATATGACACAAAAGGACTGAAGAAAATTCCAAATAAAGATAGATCAGATTTTGGGTCCAAACAGCTGCATCATGTGTTGACTTAAAAAATTTGATCTGAAATTCATTACTTGGTAAAAAGATATTTTAAATATTATTAACATTGGAGATGATAACACTTTATAATCCTAAGAATTATTTTAAATAATAAAAACCAACAAATGTATTCCAAATATGTTTTAGGGGTGGGGAGGAATTTTAGGAGTTTGTCGTGTGGCATTTTCATTTCGTTAAGGTGTGCCACTAAGAGAAGGAATGAGCTCCAAAAAAATAATGCTCAAAGAATTAGCCAAAGAAATCGCTCCTGCACTGACAATCCTCTTCCAGTCGTCGCTGTGCACAGGCAATGTTCCAGCAGACTGGAGAACAGGGCATGTCACTCTAATCTACAAGAAAGGGGAGCACTACGGCCCTGCCAACTATCGTCTGATATTCCTCACCAGCGTAGTATGCAAACTGTTGGAGCACATAATCGTAACCGCAGTCATGAAGCATCTTGAAAGCTAAAATATACTCAATGACTGTCAACATGGCTTCAATAGATCATGTGAGACCCAGCTCCTTGAATTTGTAGAAGACTTGATGACCAATCTGGAGAACAGCAAGCAAACTGACGTGCTGGTGATGGACTCCTCAAAGGCATTTGACCATGTCAATCATAGTTTGCTTCTACACAAACTTCAGAGATATGGGATCCAAGGCACCACTAAAACATGGATCTCTAGCTTCCTCAGCAACTGATGCCAAGCAATAGTGGTGGACGGTACAAGCTCCTCCTTTGTCAGTGTTAAGTCAGGGGTACCCCAGGGCTCGGTGCTAGGCCCCCGTTTGTTCCTAGCATACATTAATGACCTACCCGAGAAACTGACATACCAAGCAAGACTGTCTGCAGATGACATGGCGGTATAAAGGATGATCGCCAATAGATCAGACCAGGACCAGCTACAACAGGATCTCAATTGGTTAGCTGAGTGGGAGATGAGCTGGGACATGGAATTTCATCCTGCCAAGTGCCAGACACTATCAGTCTCTAGAAGTTTTACTCCACTACGCTACCATTATGAACTGCATGGCCATATACTTGAGCCATTTTCTTTCGTAAGGTACCTGGGTGTTACCATTCAAAGAGAAGTCCGCTGAGACGAGCATATTAACAATGTGTGTAACAAGGCAAACAAGACACTGGGGTTCTAAAGGTGTAATCTAAAGATCAGCAACTCCAGTGTGCAAGAAAGAGCCTATAAAGCCTTTGAACGGCCGCTTTTAGATTATGCATCTTCAGTCTGGGACTTATTTACCCAGATGAGCATCGACAGGTTGGAGGCGGTCCAGCGACGAGCAGCTCGCTTTGTACAGAACCACTACAGGAATACCTCTAGTGTTGGAAACATGCAGGAAACATTGGGCTGGTCACTATTGGAGGAACGACAACAACTATCCAGGCTCTCCATGATGTACAAGATAAATAATGGGTTGGTCCACTGCTCCAGCATTAAACAGAAACTTGCACCTCTCCCCCATAGACAGCAACAAGGCCATGAAAGGCAGTTCCGGCTCATACCAGCAAGAAGCCAGTATAGGATCTGCTCATTCCTGCCAAAAACAATCAGGGGCTGGAACAAGCTTTCAAAAGGAACAGTTGAGGTGACAACACTTGAAACATTTGTGTCTATTGCCTCAGGCCTTCCAACCCCCAGTGCATGATACACTCACTAAGTAGCCCTTGCAACCAGTGAAATATCCTCATCAACGCCAGGCACAGAAACATTGCAAATCCCCTCTACATGCATAGGAGCCATAATGATCATGGACCCTTAATATATATAAGAAGAAGAAGAAAATGTTTGCAAAGTGCCCAAGAAACCAAACAGGGAGAAAAAAACTGATGTATCTCCAACTGTATAGCACGTTACCAAATGTAACTCCCAGTGATGCCGTCCCGGTACAATTTAAACCGGTTGAAAGGTTGAAATGGACAGAATAACACCAAAACAACAACATGCCACTGGGACTGGGTATCCCACAAGTTGAAGTCTGAAAAGCAATATTTAGTGTGTTGGCATTGGGTTGGGTATTACTTTCAACTACTTTCTTACTTTATAAGTATAAGAAATATGTCTTTTTGTCCAAAATCTTTGAACAGCCAAACCAATCAGAATCTATTCATTCTTTAACTTCATTGACTTCATAGGTTAAAACTGAGTCTGAAATTGGTTTCAAACTAGGTCTTAGTTTAGGCTTAGGCTTCTTACTTTCTAATATAATTACTGAGTTTAGCCTACTTACTTTACTTAGTTTAGGCCTACTTACTACTTACTACTACTTCTACTAGTACACTCTCTTTACTGACATAAAAACGGAGTAAATAAGTAATAATAAAGATACATTTAATTCATTTATTAAATAGAAAATGAGCAATATATTATATTATTTATAATTATTATTAATTATATAGACTATAGAATCTATATAGTCCAAGGCCCAAGGATAGTCTGAGTGATAAGTGATAGTGATAGTCATAACTTTTGTGGTTGAGCCTGTACCGCACTTTCAAAATTGTATGATTTCATTTGAAACTTGAACGCTTTTGAGATAAACTGTTCGACTTACGTCTGTTAGTAGAACTTAATCAGATGGTGTCAAAGTTTCATGATCAAGAAAACTAACATTGAACATTATCTTCCGAAACTAGTATTTTTACATTAAGCAAAGTGGCGAACGTCAGGTTGCTTTTGAAAGTTCAAAGGTGAAAGTTTATGAGACTTGGGTAGACCTGTTTTACCTGCTGTCTTACAGAATTAACGTCTCATGAATCAAAATGTCATGTCATTATAATCAATGAACACCAATTGAAGACTTTTCATAAACTCATGTTAACTGTAAATAAATTATATTGAACATAAAATATAATTTTATTTAAAAACGTTGTGCTTTATTACGACAACCAAAAATACACTTTTTGTTTACATCAAAGGAAGTCTTCGTGGCGATGAACCATTCGTTTCACTATACTAGTTAAATCATAAATACACAAAAATTAAGAATGTTTTACCCCAAACAAATTCTTGTTTCGATCTAAGCACTCCATCAAGGTTTGTCTAGCATAAATTAATCGTGTAATATCATTAACGAAGTGACTTTCAATCACTATCTTATCTACTTTCACTAAATGAACTACTTTAGTCTTTCTTTGCTACTTTTGACACTTTTACTTTTTTGATGTTTGACTTTGTCACTTTAGTTGTTGAGTTTGAATCAGAATTGACACGTTTGACCGTTTGGCTTGAGTTGAAATCCAAGTCTTAAGGTGACCTACGAGTCTAACTTGGCTAGTAACTACACTACTTTAAAGAAATACAACAACAGCCTACTAAAGTTTATAAGTGTTATATATAAACTAAATAATAAATGGTACCTATTTTACTTTTTACAATATAGATATAAGCATTACATTTTAATAAAAATTACTCATTTATAATTTATAATACAAAATTTGTAGCCTTAATTCTTAATACAAAATTTATTGAGGCAGATGATGGTTAGGGCATATTTTTATGTGATGAGGATAAGACAATCTATCCATGAGTTTGTTTTTGTTTAAGTTTAAGTTTAGTATGTTAATGGTGTAGATTTGGATTAACAAATGTTAAGTTAATGTTACTTTGTTGAATTAACTTGAATAAAAAATTATCTACTGTCCACTTTTCACCACTGTTTGGGTAACAGAGGCTTGTGACTTGTCATCCAGATACTCTGATTTTCAGTTGTTTGAAAGTGGATGAGATCAGCACTATTATTACGAGTCATTAGGATGATTTGTATTAGTATCAGTAAACAGTTCAACTTAGTTCAAGTGCAGTTGTTTTAGCAAAATTTTATGAATTGCTCTTGCTAGAGATATATTACACATGTAGTTCTGGGCAACCTCCCCTTTCTGAAGGCCATTGATAATACATTTGCTACACCAACTTTCAGCATGTGGTTGTCTACATTTCTCTTACTCAGGTGCCTGAATGGTAAAACTGATATTTGTTAAATCATATTGCAGTATTTGAAATAATTATAGAGCTTTACTAGGAGTAAATCTCTAATGAGGGTGTTCCTGAGCCACTTGGATCAATCATAGTAAGAAACCAGCTAATAGGCACATTAAAATTCAATCCAAATTAAATAAATTGGGCTTTAAACATGAAACAGATTACTGAATCACAAAGCAAAATGGCTCACTGGACACAGCAAGATGAAAGCAAACCTTAACTCTGCTTCAGCTTTTTAAAAAATTATTATTAAATCGTGAGCCAGTACAGTCTGCTTATTGGATAGAAACAGAAAATTGGCCTGCCCGTACAGTTGGCTCACCAGAGTCAAAGAGTTAAAACTTTAATTATAAATGTAAAAAATAATGAATAAATTTCTATAATTGTGGTGTGCATCATGAGTATGTAAAAACCAACAACTGAGACTACTCAAGGGAATGTTTTTGTTAGGTCTTGCTGCATATCTGAGGAATACAATAAATTATATTTAAGCATATAGTAATTTTTTTTTATTAACTATCCAAGAAATGCATAGAACTACTAACTAGCTGTTAAATTTAGTCATGTCACAAAATGATCTCTAATACGTAGGCCTAAGTTGAAATGATTCCAAAAAATCTTGTTTGGATAAATAGGTGTTCCTAAAAATTTGTTTGTTTAAAAATTAAAAATAAACTCAGACAGCTCTTCATCTTGCTTAACTTATAAAATAGTATTTAAGACATATAATTTGCAAGGCATTTGTTCTATTTATTACAACATGACTAAATGTATGGTAGATAGTGCCCATTCATGCCATTACACAATTTGACACAAGGCTTGAAATTTTCTGGTGAAAATAAAATAACATTTTATAAAAATTTTCTGAGATAGTTGTTTGTAAATTTCCTTATTATTCCTTATTCATTTTCAGCCATGCCAGATATCGGCTTAAGATCAGGCCTCCTTTACCTCGTGCTTGTACTAGCTATTCCAATACAGTACTATTTGTCCAGTAATGCATCGGTCCCATCTGCCCAAAGAGATGCTACATTTAGAAGGTAAGATATTTTTAAAAAATATATGGCTTAGATTGTACTAAAATGCCAAAATATATTATCTGAAAAAAATCTAAATTTGGTTAAATCTTTAAAAAAAAAAAGTTGTTTATTTTCATTTTTTCTTTGTCTATAGCAGTGAGAGTTCTCTACTAACATACTACCATCATATTTCATTTACAGTATAAAGTCTCTCTAGTTTTGAGTTATTAACTGACCAAAAAATATTAGCTATTATTAATACTACTAGAAGTTTTCTGAATCCATCACTCAAGTGTTATAAATAACTGAAAACATCAATATTTTAGGTGTCAGTTCTGAACATTGTTATCATGTGCATTTCATTGTTCTGAAACTGACAGAAATCTGATACAAAAATATAAAATTGGTTATTAATATGTAGCCGAGTGGTGCGTGGCTGACAGTTTAATTATATTAACAAGGAAATGCAGGTCTTGAGAACAATAGCTTTATTGAAAAAGGTGTTGTTTGTTTCGAACAGTCAAAAATAAAACAAATGCAACCAACTCCAAATATCAATTCACACCCTCAAGGGTTAAATCACCCGCCACAAAACCAGGACCTCATGATGTCAGTGTCATGAGCTGTTCATCTGTCACCCGTGGGGCAGGCATGCCCCAGTTCAGTGGGTGTAAACATGTCTGGGGTAAACAACAGTAACACAGGAGCATGCTCCTTTTACCCATAGGTGGCACACTGCCACAAATATTTCTAATAATTTTGAAAAATTTAAAACAGCAAGTGAAGGATTCTGGTAAATTATGACAGATTATGGAACAAAGAAATTTTGCTATCTTTCTTTCCTTACCTCGAGGAAAGAGTTCTCCTTTAACATGCTGATTATAATTGTCTTGCGGTTGGGATGTATACTCCAAAACTATTCTGTAATTGGGATGAATAATTTAAGATTTTCTTTGCCTGTGAAAAAAATGTAACTGAAATATGACATTATAAAATCTTTTTATTTATTTCTGATTATTAAGTTCCAACTTTGGCCATGAAAGCTGAACTCTGGCCATGAAAGCTGAACTCTGGCCATGAAAGCTGAACTCTGGCCATGAAAGCTGAACTCTGGCCATGAAAGCTGAACTCTGGCCATGAAAGCTGAACTCTGGCCATGAAAGCTGAACTCTGACCTCCCAACGTCAAATATATGGTTTATGTAATTATTACTTTGTATTCCAATATTTTCAATATTCATCACAAACATGAATACAAAAATAGTTTTCAAACAGGTTGCTGAAGTCTCTTACCAGTTTCCGCTACAAATATCTGTCACTATCATCATGGCATCAATGGTGTACTAATGTGTGGCAGAAAGTAGATGGCTGGAGATGTATGTAAAACATTTCTTTGAATTGTATATTATTGTAGAACTATCTATCAATAAGAATTTGTATTAGTAGTAATTATACAGATACATTATGTCCATTTTAAATTTAAAACTTTGCGAACATCTCTAATATTTGATTGATTTTTTTTTGTCTGTTGTTCTCGCATCATTCCATACATCCTGTTCCTGCATCATTTTAAGAGATATTTATTATTATCATGGGTAGAGATGTCAACATTTTTTTCATTTTCCAATGAATAAACTCTTTTACAATCTAGACATTTGCATATGTGAGCTTCATTATTCTTTTAATTTATGATAAAGGGTGTTAAGTTTATTCAAGAAATAATTTCTAAAATGTTTATTTTATGTGATCAACATTACCCTGATGTATACTGGTCAATCTTATGTCCTTGAATTTGTTTTAAATGATACATGATCAGGCCTCTTTATTATAAGTATCATCTGATTAATTAATAACTGAATAATATTTTAATTTGCAGCTGGTCAACACACATTCTTCTCTGACGATAATAATGATGAGTTGGGAGAATCACCAGCCATAGAGGTTATTCACCACAGAAGTCCCGAAGGTTATTTTGCTAGTAAGTCTCATATACAATTCTCTCAATAATCATTCATATCACAATATTCCTGGAATGTTTATTTATTACATTAAGGTAGAAGAATAAATTAAAAAATAAAGGCTATGATTGATGTTTTTTTAAATATTTTTGTTTGCAATAGTATTTAATTTTTAAATATTCCTTTCAATATGAATCCATGTTAGAAAGTGATTGGTGTGATAAATTAGTATTCTAAGGTATCCTTACAAATTTAAGATCGTTTGGGGCATGTATGCCACTGGAAATTTATTTTAAAAATCATCCAAAAATAGATTATGCTATTATAGTCACAGTTTAAAATCTAAAATTATTTAAGTGAATAGAGACTTGTGGGTCTAATTGTTAATACTTAAAAATAAATTAAGTCAACTTTTTGTCAGTACTGTTCTTAAAAAACAATGTACAGAAACATAAAGATGAGATTAAAATCATTTGTATCCTTTCAGCTTCAACAAATAGACGATCTCCAAGGCCACAAGAGGTCAAGTACAGGGTAGGACAAGTTATACGCCACAAAATATGGGGATATCGGGGTGTCATTATAGGATGGGATCCTATAGCACATGTAAGTAATGTTTTTATTTACTTATTAGTCATAGTGTAAGGGAAATTCCAGGTTTTGTTTCAAATAAAAATTATATAGTGGAACCTTGGATAATGGACACCCAAATAAATGAACAACTCAGTTAATGAACAAGTTTTGTCAAAGCTTTTTATCTTGGCTATTGAATGATACTTGGGAGTATGAAAATATATTTATTTCTATACATACAGTCCAAACAGCTCAGTAATGCTTTGTCACATTTGCAGTAAACATTGTTTGTCTGAGGACTGTGTTAAAAAAAATGACTTTCTTTTTTAACTGTTTGTGTTATTTTAGCGCTCATTTTGGCGTCTAAAGAGAAAAGTGTTATTTATCAGAATAGTGTTAGATTGGAAGTAAAGAAAGAAATTATATTAACACAAAAGGGCACTATTGATTTGTTTATTTTAGTGTTGTGTGTTTAAAATTAAGGATATTTTAATTTCATTCTATATTTTTTGTTAAAGAAAAATCCTTAAAGATGTAAAACTACCACATTTTTAAAGCTGGAACAGATTAATTGAATTTCCTTTTTTTTTTCTATGGATAAAATTTACTTGAGTTACCTAACGTCTTTGTTTAAGAACTGAGTCACGGGACGGATTGACGAGGTTACAGTGTAATGAATAAATTTATCATGATAATAAATTAAATCATCTGGAAAAATTCAAATGCTACACAATTACTTCCGTAAAATGGAACAAATGTATGCTACAGCAGTAGTTTTGATAATGTATGATTTATAAAACAAATCATTGTTTAACTTGTTTCAAAAGCTGCTTTAAGAGTAGGTTGTTTCAAAAGCTGCTTTAAGAGTAGGTATATTGAAAAATCTTAAAATATTAATCTTTTAATAAAACATATCTTGTTACTGTTTTTTGTCACCAGGCCCCAGAAGAATGGTTAAACAAGATGCATCCAGCAGATAAATGGGTCAGTTGATCATTCAGAATGAGATTCATTAATAATTTTGTTGTGCACATGAAATAAAAGGAGCTACTACTATTAACTAAAATTTATTTTTTTTAAAATGGTTTTAAGAAAATATATTAATCTTTTTAAGTTGTTTAAAAGTCAATCAGCTTTATAAGAAAAGAAAAAAATAGTTTATTTATCTTATTTGGGGGAATGGAGGGAGCTTCTCTTACAAAATATTAATCTCTTTGCAATGTTTAGTTGGGCAGAAATGTAATTGATAGAGTGCCTTGATGAAGAATGTTTGAAAAGTAGAAAGTTGATATTTTTATTTGTTTTTGTTTTTTAAACTTGGGGGATTTGACTGTCATCAAATTGTGTCAATTTTAATTTTTTTTTAACGGTTTTCCAAATGAGACTTTTGAAATGCCCAAAGTTGTATTTGGGCTGAGTGAGCTTTACCTACAGACTGTAATCACCGTTCTTAAATGTCTCTCTGATCTTAACTGAACATTTCTGACAGCATTGGAGAAAGATGCCCAATTACTCTATATTGGTAGACACAAGGGACAGACCTCTACCTCAAGTGACTTATGTGCCTCAGGAAAATATTGAAATAATAACTCAAACTGAGGTAATGAACTTTTTGTTTTCTTCACAGCCTTTTGTTGCTGACTTGAAGCTTTACAGTATAAATACTAAAAGATCAAGTCATTTTAAAGTTAGTAATATGTTATTTGAATGTAGATATATTTTTGAGGTAATAGATGAATTGCCTCTTTCCCCCTCCCCCCCCCCCACCCCCCCTCCCCCACCCCCTCCAAATTCTTAATGAAAAAATAAAGACATGCTTTTTGTTTTCAGATACTTCATCCAAATCTAGATAATTATTTTGACTCTTTTGATGGTGCCCAGTATTTGATGCGACCAGCTCTCAAGTATTTCTATCCCAGAGACTAAAGTTGGTTAAATCTTTGATGAAACCAATGTTCTATCTATCATGTGAAATTTTTTTTTTGTTTTTTTTTGTGAATTTTAAAAAATACTAACATTTTATCAAAAATATCATTAGAAATATAAAGTCATGCAACTGACTGAAATCACACATGTTTTTTAAATGATTAACATCAAGTATAATTATTTTTAAAAAAAAAACTAATTCTGTTACTCCAAGAATTCAACAAAGTTTCATCCAAAATTTACAGTTGTGTCAATGATGCACAGCCTGATTATAAAATCTGAGACATTAAAATTCCTGAGAAATTTATCCAGATAAGTGTCAATCTTGGTAATATAAATCCATTTTCCCTCTAGTTCTAGGTTAAAGCAACATTTATTAAAATATAAGACTTCAGAATTGACATTTTAAACAATGTAGTGAAGACCTATTTTTTAACATAATAATATTTTTTTTCTTATCCATAAAATTTAAGGATTAAATTTATTCATGAAAATGTCCCTTTTTTGTGTTCCATAACTGCAGTTTTTAAATTTATGAACTAGAAATTGAGTGCTTAAATCAGCTCAAGTACTTTTTAAGAGACATTTGTGGGGTGGGTAGACGATTCTGGTTTGGTCTGAAAAAATGAAAAACCATCACTATTGGGTGTTTTCTTTCACAGATTTACAAATTCCAGAAATTTCTTCCATTGTGATTGATGATATATTTGGTTTATTATAGTATCTATGTATGTATTTTGAACTTTTTCAACATCTGTGGTGTATAATGTTAAAAGTTTTGATTATGTTCCTTTGTGTAGAAATAAAATCAGTTTTGCATTAAGTGCCAACAGATAAACCTAACATATTTGCCTATGTTACTGGTTTCGATCAAAATTTGATTCTTTTTATATAAGAACTACAGATTTAGGATAAAATAGATTTTAATTTTAATAGTCAAATTAGTTTGTACTTGTGACCTTACAGAATCTCAAATAATCCTATTTTTGAACTGTGATAGCAGGCAAACAGCCAAAGTTGTTTAAATATTTTTGTTATTGTTTATTTGATGTAATGAGAAGGCAAAAACATAACGTTTTTTTCTTCAAAAAACAAGAAAGAAGAGCTTGAAGTTTAATAAAATCATAAATAAAAGTATTTGAATCATTATTTAGCAATAATAAATATTGTAATTGTTTAAAGATCGAATCTGACAATGTCTTCCAAAACCAGTGGTAGGGAACCTTTTCCTGGCAAAGAGCCAAATATTAAATTTTTCATTCTTGTTGAAAAATTAAAAGAACCTCATGAAAAATAAATCTCATGGAATACCTCATTTAATATGCATACTGTGTAACTGAAATGATATAATAAACAAAAGTTGATAACACTGTTTTATTACACACTAATTAATATGATTTTTCAGTTTAAAAAATTCATATAAATATTAACACTATACAAATAAAAGGTAAGGAAATCTAATGTGAATTCAGCTGTTGGATTTCCTTACAAAGTTGATCATTTGTTTGATTGCTTTCATTTTTAAGCCTGACTGAAAAATAACATCATTCCATTGGCTTCCTAATTTGCTTTTTATATAATTCAAATTGGAAATTAATCGTTGACAAAAATAAGTTGATCTTGTTTTTTTTTAGCTCTCTTATTTCTGACCACTTTATTGAAGTGTAGTGGCAAGACTAATTGCCTTTAAAAATTCTCAAGTTCATGGATCGGGTGTGTAAATTTTGAACAGCACTGTGCTTTGTCTTCTGAATCTATAAGTTCAAATTCAGCTTGGAGATAACTATTCCAAGCAGTTTTATTTTAAAAAAATGGCAAGATTGCCTTTCCCTTTCAAAGTGACCAGCAAATGAAATGGCAATTTTCTCAACATCCTTTTTGAGGAACTGGAGTTAAATGCAACTCTCAGCAATTTGTATTTATTCTCTTAGTCCTGGGAAGAGTTAATAACTTATCAGTGCTATTGTCTTGAGCAATCAAAGACAGATATGTGCTCTTATGAAAGCACGTCTTCCAAGAGCAAAATTGCTGTAATATGTCTAACGAAACTTTTATTGAATTTGCACATTTTTAATAAAACCATTTATGCAAAATATTTGAGTATCCAAGAGCCATGAGATAGATTTAAAGAGCTGCAGGTTCCCGACCCCTGTTCTAAAAAAAAGTAAGAAAAATCTTTGTAGAATATAAATAGCAAATTTGTTGTTTCGTGCACACATTAAGAGTATGTGTGTTATTTGAAGACAAATAATATTTTCTCTCTCACTAAGTACTCTAAGGTAATTTCTTTTTAAAGTTGTCAATTTTAAAAATATATTTTTTTTTGCATTTTCTAAAAGTATTATGAATGTTCATTTGCCGTGATGTGTGTTTTTATATTTACAATTATCCTTTTTTTTTTTTGTTTAAATCAAAGTTTTGGAGATGTGGATGCTAGACATTTGCTCTTCAGAAATTTTTGAATATTTTTTTTCAAACATTTTGTGAATTAATGTTAATAATGCCAATCATTTAAATATCAACATGTATCATGTTTTGTAATTTGAAAGTTTTGAAACAACAAATGTGCAATATTCATTTGTAGCTGTTCAGCTATTTAGGTTTATAAGAAATTTAAGTGAAATAGACTTTTATGGTTCTAAGAAAATTAAAGTTAGAGAAGAAATTTAAAATGATAAATTAATATGATGCTTTTCTGTAAATTTAAAGAACCAAGTAATTAATAGAGAGTAAATTTTTGTAATTCTGATCAATGAATGTTGCTTTATGTTTTGATTCATTCTCTTGATTTTTCAATGATTTAATAATACAGTAATAAAAGGGGAAGCTAGTTTACACTGAATGGTTAAAATAAAAAAATTATGAATTTAAATAAATGAAAAGTAATCCTCATTATCTATATATTCAACAATCCGTTTGAAATCAAACTGAAAAAAATATAATCCTTTGTATCCTATACATAAATATTTATATTTAAAAGCAACTCTTTATTTTATTTTAAACAAATTAATTTACTATATTGAAAGCATCCATGTAGGGCTTTGACCCCCCCTCACCTCTTCCTTCACCAGTCAGACTAATGATTTTCTTTTCCATGCATGGATTCCCAGTTTAAAAGGCTTTTATAATTAGCCATCACAACAAAACAACCTAAAGAAACTAGTTTTGAACTGTTTGTATAGTCAGCGTCAGCTGAGAGGGTTGATTTACTATCTTGATTAGTCAAGAAAATATTCAAGTACAGTAAGTTACATAATCTTTTTTCTGTTTTTAACATAATTCTAAAATTACTTCATTTTTTGCCACCGTTTTAGGTGCTATTTCATTTGAATGGGCTTTGTTAAGGTGATATTTTCCTCATTTGGTATCTTGATGTACTTAAAGTATTTCTATATTAATTTAATTCTAAATTTGTTTGCACATTTTTTGAAGTCCCCTAACAATGAAACAACCTTTGCTCTGTGTGAGAAGCACATCTGATTTAATAAAAATTTTGAATAAATATCCAACAATTTCAGTTCAGATACATTCATTTAAATAGAAATTTCTCTTTCATTTAGATTATTTACTTTAAATTGAAATGATGGGTTCTATCAGTTTTTTTAACTCTTATTTCCACAAACATGGCTGAATCCTACATACAGGGATCAACATTAAATTAATTCAAATTGTATTTATATGATTTCCTTTGTTCAACCATTCTGTTCATTCTGAAGTTTGTTGCGACTAAGCATATCTTTACAATATAATTAACACTTTTAATGGGCTGAAATATTGTAATATAAATCCTGACTGTTTCTATTTCATAATTGATAAGTGCCATTAATGTGCTAAGGAAACATTGACTCTGTAAAAGTCTGATTGTTCTTGATAACAATGTTGTCTCTCATAAATATACCAGATAAATTTTATATACAATTTTTGTTGTATTCCATTAAAATTTATACTGTCAAAAAATTAAAATATGCCAAGATACACACAATTTCTATTTGCAAAATGTGTTAATCTTTAACTGTGAATAGAAGTGTCTTTTTTACTATGCATTTTTGGGTCAAGTAATATAAAGTGGAACACATGAATGAGCTAGAGACAGGTGGTCATGAGTATGAGGTAAGATTAGACATGGTGTGAGGATAATAAGTTATAATAATAACAGGAAAGATGAGATTTTGAATTTCCAGATTGACATCATTGGCACCAGATACCTCACCCCACCTTGCCAGAAGAGGACTAATTGTTTTCTTAAGAAGTGATGTGTTAATTTTAAATTGGATAAAATGAAATTTATAATCCTAAGTGCTGATAGATCAATAAAAATGTAGAAGTAAATTAAAGTGACTGCATAAAATTAAAGAACAATTTGTAGAAGACTTTGTCTTACAGATAAGTGAAGGATGATTGAGAAGCATAATTATAAAAATGTTGAGATAAGCTGACAAAAGAATGAATCAGTGAGATAACAAAAGAGTCAAACACACAAGCCTAAACTGGCATAAAAGAATTATTTTAATAGACTTTTGTTGTCTTTTCGTACACTATAAGTATAGCCTGACACATTTCTCCCCAAAGCGCGTGGATTAGGAAGTTTAAATAATATAAATAATTAACTCGGGATTGAATTTCATAAGGGGATCAAAGGCATTTCAAGCACATTACATCTTTATTAATTCATTTATATAATTATTACAAATTTTCTGACAGTAGTGGGGTCCTTATCTAATTTGCAAGTTATTGTTAATTGTACAAAATTAATTTCTAAAATCTGTAAATAATGAATTCACAGGGAGTTTAGGAAACACAATCCTTAAACACTTCTTAAACAAACTAATTACAATAGCTCAAATTGAACAATTTTTAATAATTTTTGTTTAACATACAGTAAGCCATTTTTTGAGGTTAAAACAGTAAGTATTGCATGAGACATATGCTTATGGCATAGCAAATAATACAGGATGTAGACATCTTGAGCAAGAATTAAAATGGTGAATATTTTGATATGTACATTTCTACAGAACCTTTCAAATAACAGGTAAATCAAACATTTATTGGGATTTTTCTCTAAAGAACCAACAAATTGAAATAGACATTGACATTAAACAAAGGCATCCATTAATGAAATCACACATCAAATGGGGGGCAGGGTCACAAAATTTGTTTAGGATTGTGATGAGGGTGTCTAGTTTTCTAGCTTTCAAATAGGGTAAAAAATTGGCCAATGTACCGTGATATCATTTAAGGATGGCCCCATATATGAAAACTATGTTAACTTAGTACCATAAATGTTACGTAAAATCAGGCAGTCTAACATTAGTGATTATATCCTAATTTTTTCTTAAAAAGATGGGTGAAAATCTCACTTTGATTGAAAAACATAATAAACAATCAAAATTATTGCAGAATATGTGATTTTGTTAGAATTGCACAGCTTTATTATTTTTAATGGCAGAAATGCGGAACATTAAATATTTGTTTACAATCTCATTCAAGGGGCATATATTTGCTTTATAGGTTTTCTATCTCAAATTTCAGTTTTTTTCTAACATAGGTAATGGGTCCCTTGGTATTAACATTTAACAGATATGTCTTAATATTAAGACACATCTGTTTATTAAGATTTAAAGTTGGGAAACAAGAAAGACAACTAAGAGACAGCAGTAGTGGAAGCTAAAAGTAGTACAAATGATTTTTAAAATTTTTTGTTTAATTAAATCAAAAAAAGACCAGCAGCCCGATATGAACTGTATTACAGAACAAAAGTACACAAAAAGAAGTTCTGAAATACAGGCTTAAAAAATTACATGCAGGAATAAAAAATCTATAAATTATTGATGATTTATTACAACAGAATAATGCAGCTAAAAATGCTGCAAAAATAATTGTGAACACAGAAGCTGTAAACAGGACTTAAATAAAGAATCGGAATAATAAATCAAAAAAAAAATGTAAGAAATAATGACCATCATATTAATCTTACTAAGTTAAATTGAGGTAAGTTATAAACTAATTCTTTTAATGATGTTTTTTTTTTTGCTTATTCATAAAACTTTTACAAATTTCTCTCTCTTTCCCCTCCTGCCAACATATCACCATTCATTTATTAATTTTTTTTTAAATCTGTGAGGATTCCTTTTAAACATAAATAATTCATTTTTAAATTATAGCTGTATACTGTATTGTTTATAAATAAGACATACTCTGCTTAAACATTTAAAAAAAATTTGTTTATAAACATGGTTATAACTTCCAGAATACTAAAAATATTTTCAGACTAAACTGAACAACTGGAAGAAAACAATTAGAATTTTGGAGAGATTACACCTCTAAAACTAATGATTAATAGGGTCTGGATTACATCTTTGAAAAATTTTAATATGTTCAAATTAATAAATTTCCAAATTTTCTTCTTTTTCTATAATTCTAAGTATTTTTAGTTTTAAAAAATCATTTATTAATCTCTCTTAACCATATTCTTTTAAAGTAAAGAGTTTTACAAACACTTTTTGAGAGACAACTAATTCCAATTAATATGTAAACACATTTATAGATAAATAAATACAAAAGATCACAGAATTATGTTTTTTCCAGTTTTGAGACCCTATGGAGTCAAATACAAAATTACAAAATGTAAATAATCCAATCCAATATAATGAGTTTCTAAGAAAGATTCCAAAGAAACCAACACATTTTTTGAAAAAATGTGATATGTTGAGATTTATAAAAAGCATTATAATTTTCTCCATAAGGTTGGGGTGATAATCAGAGTTCAGATGTCATGTAATTGTTCCAATGTATATAAAAAATAAATAACTGAGTTCAAAGTGATTCAGACATAACAAAAAATTAATTGAATTTGCTCCCTTTAAATTATTTGTTAAAATTGGAATGATATTGAAGATTATTATGAATGATATTTAATGATTACATATTGTTGCATCTTCTGTTTTCCAAATCCAAATCATATTTGTTATTTTGTACTTATTTCTGTAGTAATTTTTAGAAAATGTTTTTCAATCTAATATATAAAAATGAATTACATATTTCTTATTTACAATGAATTATGATCACTGTTTTTAAAATTATGAAATAGTACATTATATAAAAAAATATACAAATACAAGTCTTTAAAAAATTAGTTTCTGTTAAAAAAAACGTGCAAATAATTTTCTTTTATAATTAAATATTTTAAATTTTTTTTTCTATAATCTTCATTGAATTTTTTTGTATTTAGTACATAAATTTTCAAAAAGTTGAAATAATATTTTGAATCCCAAGCATTAATTATTTCTCCCCAAACTCCAGATGTATATGTAAGATAAATAAATAAAACTTTTAATAACTGTACTTTGTCATGAGATCAGTTATAATGTCTTCCCCAAATATCACAATAAAGTTCTGCTACATATTTATAGCTGCAGGAATAAAAATATATAACTTCATCTAATGCCAAATTTTATCGTTAGCTGCATAAAAATGTAAGTTCAACATTGGAATGTATATAGGTAATCAAGCAACAAAAAGAAGCAACATTAACAGTGCTATAGACATAGAAAACATTTTAGCAAAATGTTTATAGAGCAGCTACGCTATTTCATTTTTTTATGAAAAATTCCTTAACCAACTCTCTTGACTCAAAAAAGCAACAACTTTTATTACCAATACTGAAGTTACACTTCCCAGGAAAGCAGTGAATAAAAATTTAGAAGAATACTATCATCTGTGCTTGCCCATAAGGTTTCTCAAACGCAGCAGATTTTCTGAGGTGACCTTATCATTGGGTTTCAGCTCCAGTGCTTTTAGATAAGCCTGTTCTGCTTGAGTATACTTGGCATTGATATGCAACATAGCACCAAGATTCATCCAAGCTGCTGGTTCCTGGAAGAAATAAAATTGAGTGTTACCATATATCATTCATTCTTTTGGATGGAATTCAAGTTTAGGGGATCGTGAAAGATGCAGAAATTTAAAGCACTTTTATATTCAACCCATCAGAAATACTTCAAATTAGATGAAAAATTCATCTAATAATTAATTATTTTAATTCCATTTTTTTTCACTACAGCAATAATGGCAGCACATGGTTGTGTCTTAAAAATGTTTTATTATTAGTGGATGTAGCTTCAATAAAAGCAACCATTTGGAATATCATTATTATCTCAACTTAACTTTAAAAAAAAATATAATGATCAGTTGATTTTGAAATGTCTAAGAATAAAATATAAAATTTTAATGGAATGAATTCTTACACTGGGCTTTAACTTAACAGCAGCTAAATACATTTCCTCTGCCTTTTGCTTCATGTCGGCTTCCCTGCAAGAAAACAGATGATAAGTATCAGAACATTTTTCCCATAAAGAAAATGAAGTGGTCTTGTAGAATAAATTTAGCTTTTAGATTTAGTTTTACGGCCAGGAAACTTTTGAATTTGAAGTGGTAAATTTCAAACATTATTTTTAATTATAGCTAAGCAAAATTTATAATGTTTAATATTATACGAATTTGACAAATTTCCTAATTCTGAGGTGAATTGTCATAGGGTTATTTGTATTGAGCAGATAAATTCTTTAAAAAAAAAAAAAAAAAAAAAATAATGATGAGTATCTCAAAATAGAAATACCTGTAAGCATTAGCACTGTTGTAGACTGTATCAAAATCATGGCTCAACAAAGGCAATAATCTTTCAAAGATTGCAATGCTGTCATTCAGACGATTTATTGATGCATAGAGCTGAGCTAAGATACAAGATAAAAATGGTTCTATTACAATTATTATCTAAAAATTGATTTGGGATATTAAGGAAACAGAAGTTGGATACAGTCTAATCTAAACTTAGTTTAAAAAGAATATAAACTCACTGAATCAACAACAAGAAGATACAAATTTAACTCTTTTATTAACAATATTGGAATACAAATAAGAAGCATTGCTTTATTAATCTCCCTATTTTACTGTTACTGAATCTTTATTGAAAAATGTGAGTTCCATGTTTGAAATATTTATGCTAAATTATTTTTGAGTTTGCAAGACCCATTAGTTATAAAGCAATTAAACATATAAAACCATTTTTTTTTAACAGGAAAAAATTCACACACTACCTCTGTGAAAGTCTATTGTCAGATCTGATGGATGATGCCGTTTAGCTTTATCTAGCCAAGATTCAGCATCACTATGCAGACCCTGTTAATAAGATTCAATCTCAGTTTTTTAAAATCTGATAAAGCTACTTGTACATATTTTAAATTAACAGACTAAGCAGTAAAAAGAAACTTCATAAATAAAGCATTCCAAAATCAGTGATATGCTCTCCTGATTACTCTCTTTTTAAAAAAATTATCTCTTCCTGTGTT